GGTCAGGTGATCAGCTGGTTAGAGAGGAGTGTGGCAGCTGGTGGGAGAGGAGTGTGGTCAGCTGGTGGGGAGGAGTGTGGTCAGCTGGTGGGGGAGGAGTGTGGTCAGCTGGTGGGAGAGGAGTGTGGTCAGCTGGTGGGAGAGGAGTGTGGTCAGCTGGTGGGAGAGGAGTGTGGTCAGCTGGTGGGAGAGGAGTGTGGTCAGTGTGATCAGCTGGTTAGAGAGGAGTGTGGCCAGCTGGTGGGAGAGGAGTGTGGTCAGCTGGTGGGGGAGGAGTGTGGTCAGCTGGTGGGGGAGGAGTGTGGTCAGCTGGTGGGAGAGGAGTGTGGCCAGCTGGTGGGAGAGGAGTGTGGTCAGCTGGTGGGGGAGGAGTGTGGTCAGCTGGTGGGGGAGGAGTGTGGTCAGCTGGTGGGAGAGGAGTGTGGTCAGCTGGTGGGAGAGGAGTGTGGTCAGCTGGTGGGAGAGGAGTGTGGTCAGGGATGGGGAGGAGTGTGGTCAGCTGGTTAGAGAGGAGTGTGGCCAGCTGGTGGAGAGGAGTGTGGTCAGCTGGTGGGGGAGGAGTGTGTCAGCTGGTGGGGGAGGAGTGTGGTCAGCTGGTGGGAGAGGGAGTGTGGCCACTGGTGGGAGAGGAGTGTGGTCAGCTGGTGGGGAGAGTGTGGTCAGCTGGTGGGGAGGAGTGTGGTCACCTGGTGGGAGAGGAGTGTGGTCAGCTGGTGGAGAGCGTGTGGTCAGCTGTGGGAGAGGAGTGTGGTCAGCTGGTGGGAGATGAGTGTGGTCAGCTGGTGGGAGAGGAGCATGGTCAGCTGGTGGGAGAGGAGCATGGTCAGCTGGTGGGAGAGGAGTGTGGTCAGCTGGTGGGAGAGGAGTGTGGTCAGCTGGTTGGAGCGGAGTGTGGTCAGCTGGTGGGAGCAGAATGTGGTCAGCTGGTGGGAGCGGAGTGTGGTCAGCTGGTGGGCGAGGAGTGTGGTCAGCTGGTGGGAGGAGTGTGTGGTCAGCTGGTGGAAGAGGAGTGTGGTCAGCTGGTGGGAGAGGAGTGCGGTCAGCTGGTGGGAGAGGAGCGTGGTCAGCTGGTGGGAGAGGAGCGTGGTCAGCTGGTTGGAGAGAAGCATGTTCAGCTGGTGGGAGAGCAGCATGGTCAGCTGATGGGAGAGGAGGGTGGTCAGCTGGTGTGAGAGGAGTGTGGTCAGCTGGTGGAAGAGGAGTGTCGTCAGCTAGTGGGAGAGGAGTGTGGTCAGCTGGTGGGAGAGGAGTGTGGTCAGCTAGTGGGAGAGGACTGCGGTAAGGTGGTGGAGAGTAGTGTGGTTAGCTGGTGAGAGAGGAGTGTGGTTGTGGAAGTGTGGTCAGCTGGTGAGAGAGGAGTGTGGTTGTGGAAGTGTGGTCAGCTGGTGGAGGAAGAGTGCAGTCTACTGGTGTTAGTGGAAGAGTGTGGTCAGCTGGTGGTGGTGGTGGTGGAGGAAGAGTGCGGTATACTGGTGGTGGTGGAAGAGTGTGGTCAGCTGCTGGTGGTGGAGGAAGAGTGCAGTCTACTGGTGGTGGTGGAAATGTGTGGTCAGCTGCTGGTGGTGGAGGAAGAGTGCAGTCTACTGGTGGTGGTGGAAATGTGTGGTCAGCTGGTGGTGGTGGAGGAAGTGTAGAGTCTACTGGTGGTGGTGGAAATGTGTGGTCAGCTGGTGGTGGTAGTGTGTCAGGTAACAAACTTGTACCCACTGATCTATCCTACATCTTGTCAGTGTCAGGGCTCACGCCGTTACTTCCCTTATTGAGCTAACTTTTGGAAGAAAGCAGTTTTTGAATGTGATGTAGCGGCTTCATTTATCTTCCCTCTTGTGGCTTAATCTACATGTTGAACATTGTCTCTACGGTATTTTCAATATCTTCGCATTTTATGTTTGTATATTATACAAACTGCGGCTAGCCGTGGGATCGAACCAGTGTTGTTTTAGCCAGCCTCGTGGGAAGAGCGCGAAAATTCACGACGCTCTAAACTACTGGACCATACAATCCTACAAACAAAATGAACCTAGCAAACTAGGCCTGCTTCATGTTGAAATTAGCTCTAAGGCAACCACACCATCATGTATCCTCGCAACATGAAGCAAGCCTAGTTTGCTAGGCTCATGTTGTTTATAGGATTGTATGGTCCAGTAGTTTAGTGTCATGAATTTTTGCTCTCTCCCCCACGAGGAGGGCTAAAACAACACGGGTTCGATCCTCTGGTTAGCCGCATTTTATTAAATACCACTTGTCTGTGGTTAATTATATATATATATATATATATATATATATATATATATATATATATATATATATATATATATATATATATATATATAGGTGGATTCTTGACTTACGAGTGTCCAAACTTACGAGTTTTCCGAGTTACTTGCGAGACAAAATCCGAGTTACAAGCAAACAAAAAAAAAAATAATATTTACTGAAAATGACATTTGGCAAGAACTCTGGCCTAAATGGCACAACGAAAGGTGGTTTTAGGACTTAGTACTTATAAAACAATGCTAGTGCGATGTTTTCACTGGAGGTAATCGTTTAATTATCTTTAGTTATTCTATAAAAAAAATAATTTCTAAGTTTTTGACATTTGCAAAGTATCTTGCCCTTCCCTCCCACACAAATCCCAAAATATTTGGAAAATTTCCAACATTCCACAAGCCAATTGTAGAACAATAATTTTTTTTTATGATTCCTGTCAATATTATTGCATTTACTTTAAAAAATAAATGGTGGGCTTCATGAAATAAGTCAATAACTTACTTCCGAGATATTCATATATCACTCTACTAGTGATCTAATGCAGTTAGTCTCTCAAAAACTCCGTTTTTTCTTACCCAGGACCAAAGAACACGTTATAGGAGGGGCAATAATAATTTTATATGCTCAGATTGGTCCTGGACACTCGCCATATTATGGCCTATTTTATTCATTCTAGAGTATATATTATGTTTCTATGTTACTTATAGTGTTTATTATGTCATATTAGAACAATTTTGGTAGATAAATAAGCCATAGAGTTGATATTGCATTACATTGAAGTATTTTCATCTGCCCCTATTGAGGTTTTTTTGGGGGCTGGAACGGATTAATGCCATTTCAGTTAATCTCAGTGAGGAAAATTGATTTGATATACGAGTAAGCTGAATTACGAGCTCGGTCAAGGAACGAATTAAACTCGTAAGCCAAAGTACTACTGTATATAAATATATATACACACATTTTCGGTGGATACCGATACTATTCACATATTTTTTTAATAATAATGTTAAATATTTAAGAGAATGCTTATTGCACAGTGGTATTAACACAGGAATATTAAATAACTAAATTTCTTTGATATGCCTTTGTTCATTACTTGGCTTGTTGTGTTAATCACTAGTTGTCAAAGGCTTGTTTTGTGTGTATGTCTGTTTACTGTCTACTCACTCACTTGTGGTTGCAGGGGTCGAGACATAGCTCCCGGCAAGGCCTCTGCTGTGTGTTGGGGGGGGGGGAGGAGGTGAATAGATGAGTAGAGTATTAATGCTGATATTTTTAAGCACATGTGTAACATAAACATTTTAAAAGTATATGTTTTTTAACCGGTCATAAAAATGACCGATACCTATAATTTGGCACATCCCTATATATACAAAGAGCCTGGTTAACAAGTCATGTTTCTTACTAGCCAGGGCACACCAGTGAACCTCAAGTATGGTTTCAAGCTATATTATACTCCTCCTGTATGTTGTGACCTCACAAGCGATTTGTACATTATTGCACCATGCATAAACAAGTGCAGGTATATACAGGTCTAGAGCGTCTCTTGAAGAACCGTGCCAGACTTCTCTGATGTGGTTGTTTCGAATGCTGCTGAATGCGATTTTTCTCTGTATATATCTCAGTTTGTTTCTGCGTGGTGCATTCATAACTTTCCATGAGGAAATGGAACAGAATTCTTCCTCCGTAAGTCATGCGTGTCTTAAGAGGGGACTAAAATGCCAAGAGCAAGGGGATGGTAACCCCTTCTCCTGTATATATTACTAAATTTAAAAAGAGAAACTTTCGTTTTAGTTTTTGGGCCACCCTGCCTCGGTGGGATACGGCCGGTTTGTAATGTGTGTGCATGTGTATATATATGTATATATATGTATATATATATATATATATATATATATATATATATATATATATATATATATATATATATATATATGAAATGGAATGAAGAGGATCAAACCTGTGGCTTAATGCATAAAAACAAAAAAGTGAAAACTACGACACGACAACGGATGGTCAAAATATCTTCAGTTACTATAAGTACACATATTCAGATATGATTCCTGACCAGTTCTTCAAAGTGTCTCAACACAAACTGGAGGTTTCACAGCTCCGCGGCTCATGTCATCCGTGTTTAGGTCAACGAAGTGTGATATTTGAAGGTAACAAGAAAGAAATGGAATAGTATTGGAGTGAACCCTTGCCCAGTTGCTTGCCATGCAGGTGGTAGCTAGTTAAGTGTCGTGAAATAAAATTCTAGGGTAAACAATTGACACTTAAGCATTTTTAAAAAGCTAAAGTAAGAATTTTGTTTTTAATGATTAACAAATAAAATATGGAGTAGCATAAATTATTTAAATTACCACTTTCACCTTAATTCATAGAAATTTATCTTAGACTTTCAAGCAAAATGATAAGTAATTTCGCTGTAAAATTCTGACTTGCTCTGAAGATAATGGAATAATTATTTAGCATTTGATACAAGAATTAAGATATAAAATCTTTCTTGACGTTGGGAATTTAATTTGTTTTATTTAGTTTCAGAGTGGAGCCTCGACAGGTAGTGACAGACAAGTACACTTTCTTTCCTGGCCCAAATCTTCAGGAAAGTGAATTCTATACTAAAAGAAATAATTTTGAGGAAGGGAGGGGGAGGGGACTCCAGCATCAGAATGCTCTGCACATGTAAGATAAGTTTTTCATGAATTCTGGAAAAAAAGTAGATGAAATTTAAACTGTGCGTTTTTATTTTGCGTCCAGTAGTAACATTTTATGGAGCAAAGATGGCGGATGACATTATTGGAACGTCAGTGTTGCATAGTCCTAGGACAGACTGTCTTACAAATTTCGAGGGTCTTGACTGATGAATTTACTTAAACAGAAATAAGAAATGAGGAATGTTATACACAATAAAATAATACATCTCGTGAACAAACATATGCCTTTCAATTCTCGAAGGATTATTGTGAAGCTGACTACTACTCGCCAACTTTCCAAGCTTGTCTTGTATATTTTCATCCTAGCTCTAACACCAGTTTGGTCTATTCCTCTTAAATTATTCTGCACTTTAAAAATAAAGATTTACTGCTTATATTTATACTTAATTCTATACCTTATTTCTTATTTACATTAAATTTAAGCCCAAGTGTCACCATTTATAAACAGTTTCATTCCAGTGTAATTAAGACATTCAACAGCATCTATGCTCTGGTTAACAATGTCACACACACACACACACACACACACACACACACACACACACACACACACACACACACACACACACACACACACACACATTCAACATAAGCTTTTACACGAAATCTACAGTTTTTGAATGTTATACATCATCACAGATCTCATTCATGCACATTCTTTCTTCTCAGGTCTTCAGGGAGAGCAGCCAACTGATGAAGACGGCAATGAGTGTTGTTAGGAAAGATGCACTGAAGATGTCGGTGCCAGCCGTGAACTGGAAGACATGCACACTGGCGCCTGGCTCCTTCCAGGGATTGGAACCGTCGTCAAAGTGCATAGGGCAGCGGTCGTCTGCAATATAAGTTTGCTGATTTTTATACTCTGTTATACTTCAACTAGTTGACTTGTACGGTGTTAATGAGCCATTTTCTTATATGTACTAAATAATCAATATATAAACATAGTGTAGAAATATAAAATAAGCAAATATCTGTGATTGAGTTTTTAGGCGCCAGTAGCTGAGTGAACTAATATGTCACGTAGGAAATTTTGCTGACGGTGATCTTTCTCTGTATATACTTTTGCTTGTTTGTGTGTACATTGATTATATATATATATATATATATATATATATATATATATATATATATATATATATATATATATATAATATATATTATTTATATATATATATATATATATATATATATATATATATATATATATATATATATATATATATATATACACAAGGAATTCGCAAGAGCAGGCGAAATATACACAAACACTGATCTCTGGCTGAAGGAGACTCTAACCTACGAACCTTGGAACAACGTAAGCAGTGCTTTACCAATCTTCCCACACTGGACAATACCTTGGAGTCCAGCTTGCGCTAGACTTTGATCCAAGGCAGCCAGCTTTCAGGGAGAAGGCTTACAGCTTTTCATCTCATCCCCTGCATGCATCAGCCTTACTAGAGATTTGAACAATGCAAGGAATTCGCAAGAGCAGGCGAAATATACACAAACACTGATCTGCCGAATAGGTAAAACTTACGATTTTGGCTTAAATAGCAATGCTCTTCTTGCCGAATAAGGCAAGCGAAAATTAGTGAATGCATTAATTTCGCAGAAATCATTCTGAACCTAACGAAAAAAAATATATATTTCGTTGTGATTGTTTATTAAATTATTATAAACTTATCTAAAATATATTAAGTCGGATAAGGCTAAATTAAATTACGCTTGTTAAAATAAGGTTTATTAAGTTTTTTAAGATTCCCTTGGTACAAAATTATTAATTTTTACATTAACAAAAATGAAAAAATATATCTTCAAGCATATAAGAGTAAAATTTTAGAAAGGGTTTAATTTTAAATGAGTTCTTGCTAATTGACCAGTTTTACCTATTCGGTACTACATATACGAGTCCACGTTTGGATGGTGGCATAGTTTTGTACGTGACGCCTAAAACCGCTAGGTAGCCTGGTTACAAGCCATGTTTCTTCCTAGCGCCGGGCATACCAGTGAGCCTCAGGCATGATCTCCAGCTATCTCATTCACTTACACCTCTTCCCAACGCTCCTGCATTCACTTCTCTTACATGCATGCATATATATATATATATATATATATATATATATATATATATATATATATATATATATATATATATATATATATATATATATAAATATATATATATATATATGCATGCATGCTCGCATATATGCATGCAATAAGATCACAGTAAACAGGTGATTTCAAAATATGAAAAACAACCACTGTGAAAGAAATTCCAAGCGCTTTCGTGACTACTCATATTATCAAGGAACAATGAAAGTAGAGCATCAAAGGAAGGTATATAAGGGGTCTAGCCCACACCTCACTATCAAATCCCACAACAAAGGAACATCTGACATGCCACTCATAAGAAAGGGAACACTGCAGCAGGCCCGCTGGCCCAACTAGACAGATCCTTCACACAACCCACCAACAAACTATTCTACCCAAGAAATAAGAATTTTAAAAATTATTATTTGTCCAATGCATTATTAAATTCTTCACAAAATCTATTAATTATAAATGGATCTAATTTATATAAACCAAAGGAAATATTCATATTATTGTCAAAACTGCTTTTTATGAAACAAGATTCAATTATATTCCTGTCGACCATGGACTTGCTTGATACTACTTTCTCAACTTTTTGAAAATCAATTGGATGGTTAAAATCACACACATGAATAAATAGAGCATTGGAATCTTGTCCAGTTCTAATGCTATATTTATGCTGTTTTAATCTTAGTTCGAGATTTTTACCAGTTTGACCATAATTAACTTCATCGCAAATTTTACAAGGAATCTTATAGACACATCCTGGAGTTTACCTGGAGAGAGTTCCGGGGGTCAACGCCCCCGCGGCCCGGTCTGTGACCAGGCCTCCTGGTCACAGGGAATTCTTCATCAAAAGTTTTTTTTACTGTATCAAGATTTTTGAATACAACTTTAATATTAAAAGTCTTAAGAAGAGAAGGCATATCAACCAAGTTTTCAGGGTAAGGGAGAATCAACATATTTTTAGTTGAATAAGGCTGGTTGTCCCTTTTTGGATTGCAAAAAGTATTTCTAGCAACTTTAAAAGATTTATCAATTACATTTCTTGGGTATTTCAAATCATTACCTATTTCATAAAATATGTTGGTTCTCCCAAAAGCAGTTTTGACAATAATATGAATATTTCCTTTGGTTTATATAAATTAGATCCATTTATAATTAATAGAATTTGGGAAGAATTTAATAATACATTGGACAAATAATTTTTAAAATTCTTATTTCTTGGGAAGAATAGTTTGTTGGTGGGTTGTGTGAAGGACCTGTCTAGTTGGGCCAGCGGGCCTGCTGCAGTGTTCCCTTTGTTATGAGTGGCGTGTCAGATGTTCATTTGTTGTGGGATCTGATAGTGAGGTGTGGGTTAGACCCCTTATATACCTTCCTTTGCTCTACTTTCATTCTTCCTTGATAATGTGAGTCACGAAAGCGCTTGGAATTTCTCTATTCTTTCACAGTGGTTGTATTGCACATATATATATATATATATATATATATATATATATATATATATATATATATATATATATATATATATATATATATATATATATATATATATATATATATATATATATAATGTCCTGGGAGACAGTAATGGTGAAGCTGGAAGTGCTGTCCTGGGAGACAGTAATGGTGAAGCTGGAGATTTTGTCCAGGTAGTCGGGAATTATACGCAGGAAGGAATACATATAAATGACCTCATAGGGGACAGGAGCCGTAGTGGGGAAACAAGTGTAGTCAAAGATAAGTTAAAACCAATATTGCAAACTAGAAATACCACAGGAAATAGCAAACAAGAGGACTCCACTAGCTATAGTGAGGATATATTACCAAAAACAACTGGTGGGAGCTCCATTGTTGGTGCTAGGGAGGATAGGAATAAGACAGGGAAACATGCACCAACAGGGAATACAGTCACAGAAACCCAAGGCAAACGGAAACCAAGCCTGTGCACATACTATGCACTTGGTATCTGCAGACATGGGAAATATGGAAAAACAGACGGGACGTGCAACTATGACCACCCTAGAAAATGCCATCCCCATATGACAACAGGAAAATGCAAACTCCCTTCCTGTAAGCTATTTCACCCTGAAATGTGTACCTCTTCAGTACAGGAAAGACTGTGCTATAACTTAAATTGCCAGGCATACCATCTAAAGGGACAAAAGATACAAAACATCCAGGCCATGGGAAAACCTGGGTAGCCACAGCCACTCAAGAGGGAGAGGTTTTTAGTGCCAGGAAGGAAAAAAAACTGGCAGGAAATGGCAGAAATCGTACACCAAATCCAGTCATTCCTGGAGTGGAACCACAGTCGATGGCCTCCACTCCAAACCAACAGATACAGATACTAATGCCGGAAAAAAATCCCCCCCCCCTAGTACCAACAATACCACCAGTCCGATGACATTCTTCTTTGCAAATATACAGGGTCTAAAGCCAGCAACAAACAACAAAATACCTTTCATCCGTGGACTGCTTGCAGAGGCAAAGGCAATGTGTGCGGCTTTCACTGAGACCCACATAAAGGATCACTTGGACAACGAAATATGGATCCCAGGTTACAACCTATACAGATGTGACAGAGTGAACAGGCAAAAGGGGGGAGGGGGGTTGGCCTGTACATTGCACAGTCACTTGTTTGCACAGAACTGCTAAATGCCTTAAATGATGTAGTGGAAGTTTTAGCAGTAAAGGTCGAGAACCAAAACCTAGTCATTGTGGTAGTCTACAAGCCTCCGGATGCAACATCCCAGCAATTCCAGGAACGGCTGTTAAAAATTGACCACTGTCTGGAAAATCTTCCAGCTCCTGCACCCAAATTCTTGCTCCTGGGGGATTTCAACTTAAGGCACCTAAAATGGAGGGATATAGCAAATAATATTGTTGCAGTAATAACACCAGGAGGCAGCTCTGATGAAAACTCACACTCACACGAGCTTTTAAATCTCTGCACAAAATTCAATTTAAACCAGCAAATAATAGAGCCTACTAGACTGGGAATACACTAACTCATCTTCACTAACAATGATGATCTGATAAGAAATTGTCACCATATCAAAAACAATATACTCAGATCACAACATAATTGAGGTTCAGACATGTATGCGTGGAGCCCAGACCGACATAATGAGACTAGTCACGAGGGAGACATCACCAAATTCAACTTCAATAACAAAAACATAAAGTGGGACCAAGTAAACCAAGTCCTAACCGATATAAGCTGGGAAGATATACTAAGCAACACAGACCCCAACTTATGCCTAGAACAGATTAACTTGGTGGCACTCGATGTATGCACAAGGCTTATTCCTCTAAGAAAAAGGAGGAGTAGATGTAAAATAGAAAGAGACAGGCGCTCCCTTTACAGGCGACGGAAAAGAATAACAGAGCAGCTAAAAGAGGTCAATATATCTGAAATGCGCAGGGAGACACTGGTCAGAGAAATAGCAAGCATCGAACTCAAGCTAAAGGAATCTTATAGGAGTCAGGAATCGCGGGAAGAACTAAAAGTCATAAATGAAATCGAAAGAAACCCAAAGTATTTCTTCTCCTATGTCAAATCAAAGTCGAGAACAACGTCCAGTATTGAGCCCCTACCTAAACAAGATGGGTCCTACACAGATAACAGCAAGGAAATGAGTGAGCTACTCAAGTCCCAGTATGACTCAGTTTTTAGCAAGCCGCTAACCAGACTGAGAGTCGAAGATCAAAATTAATTTTTTTATGAGAGAG